CATATGACAATGTATTTGCTTTTCTTTGTATTTCCTATATAGATAACATATCATTAAATTGGAATTTTATCAGATGTAAAGTTTCAAAATTTCCTAGCGATCTCTTTGAGGAGAGGGGACAACTTTATTTATATAATATAATTTTATATTATATCATCATGAAGTTACACCCGCTTCCGTACAAAATATGAGAGAGGAAAAACTATTATATCTATTAAATGGACGTAATTTGATTTATTATCTTGCAAAATGGGCATTGAAACAAAAGCATTTATTTGTTTTTATATATATTTTTAAAGTTTAATGTTTGTGACTATACAAAGATAGTACATGATATTTTGCTGAAATGTATTTTAATGAAATATATCAACTACGAATGGTAAATATTATGAATAAGTTATGCAATAATCTATTTCAAAATTGGGAAAACGATATACATTATTTTATCATTATTTGTAAATAAAATCGCCTTTAGTGAGGGAATGATACTTTCATAGACTTTCATTTTGCAATGAGAATTAGTTGGTTTACTCAAACTGGTCATATAACTTTTCATAAGAATAGAAACTGTTAGTAAATAAATCTTATCTCTGATTTTATGAATATTGATCGAAATTAATAATTTTCTCAATTTATGAAATAGAAAAAAACTTATTTCACTAAAGTAAATTACACTTTTCAAGTTATACTTTGCTTATCCATCATTTTTACCATTCGTATATTAGAAAAATGGCCTAAACGAGTCGCAAACGTGAGCAATCTTGTGATCTAGAACGATTATATTGACAGAACTTTAGAATATTGTGGATAAGACGTGTTTAAATAATATGGATGTGTTGCGCTTCTCCAATAATCAGGTTTTCAATAACATAAAAATGTGTTTTATTTTATTAATATACCCGTAATAAGAGAAAAGAAGTCGACACAACACTAGTTCGTTAAAGAAACTCCCTCTTTGCAAATAGTTGATAAATGAAATATAGGCTATGTATGATACAGGTTACTACTTTAGCACTATTAAAAAAAAATAATCCAGTATCTAATTAGTATCGAGTATAAATGTCAAATCTTTGTATTGGCAATCTTAGTTTTGATTACTGAGTTATATAGCGCTGTGCAAATATCAATAAGAAAATTTGATATTTATATGTTTCGTTTTGAATTCGATTTGTAATCGATAAATGTGTTATATCTTGAATACATCTTTAGCATAAATTTTAAATCATTATTAAAATCTAATATACTTTACTATTAACTGACTCATAATTTATTCTTGATTTTGTTTTAAAAATATTTATCTCATTATATGAGCAGGCTACATAAATGTGCAATTCAATGACGCACCCATGAGTTGCAATATAACTTTTCCTGAGAAAGGTTAATAGAATATATAAAAAAAAACAATATTCAGCATTAGCTTGATTATTATAGGAAACCAGATTTTTTAAATAATATTGCTTCGTAGTTTTTTTTTTTCTTATTAAATAGTTGATATGCTTTCTATTTTATAATCAGAATTCTGGTAAGAGAGTTATTTTTAAATTCATTGAATATGAATTAAAGGTAATAACGGTAAGTATTATCTCGCACAGCTTGTCAGTGCTCGGTGAGACGGCCGGTCGCCAGAAGCCTCGAATATTTTCCTCTTTGGACATCCAGCGGAGGTACGCCGCGGTTACGTGGAGATGATAATATAATTGTCATCGTTTTACTTTTGTTTTTTTTTTTCTCCTACATTCAAAGATTTTGCCGAGTGGGGTGCCGATGCGTTTTTGTTTTTTTTTTTTTATACTAACCTCCTTTGGTTGTTTTGAGATTCATAATAATAAATATTTCAGTTGAAAGATTGTGTATGTGAATGTATCTGTTTATGCATACAGTATTGAAATATGTCGCCGTATATTTTTTCGAATGTTTTATTATCTACACGTTATTGTTTATTTATTAAATTATCTATGTAATTTAAATAATATTCTAATAACAGCACAGTATTTTGCAGTATGAGTACGCCACAATTTAACCATTTACCTAAGTATTTAAATTGTATTTTATTATATTTTCCTCTAATATTAAAAATAGGATGTCGTAAAATCGAATAACTGTTTCCCAATTTGAAATACAACAGATTTATTTAGATCCTTTCTGTAAACAGTAAAACTACCCTTAAAAACTATCTAACGTGTAGTATTATTAATTATTCATTATGTTGAATTATTATTTTATATAATAATATTATACATACTGAGCTGAGGTTAACATTATTGAGAAGATTTAATGTTTGGCTTACGGTGTATTGCATTTTAATACTACATGAAGAGGTCTTATTTTGTCTTAAAAAGGCGATTATTTTTTTTTGTTTACCACTTATAAGTATAAATTGAAGATTTCTTGACATAACTAGCATTTGTAATAAAAATAACATTTATGATATCCATTATTCTGCTATTTATTGCTTTATGTACGTCTAAATAAGGGTTGTTTTTTAAGTACTCACGATCTAAGCAAAATGAGATTAATGTCTCTACAATAAGATTTATTTTCGACTGGAGTGAGAGAGTTGTGAGATACTGCATGCGTATGTCGATCCCGTTGATTTGTTTTTTCCTTATTAATGATGACATTGCAAAATGAAGAATGTTTAACACCTATTCCTTTGCATTTCCTTGTGATGTACATTCCACTAGCTAGTTTTGTATTATTTAGAAAAAAGGGAGCATGGTTTAGTCAAAACTCTATCTTTAGATATCTATCACAAAACGTGCCACATGCGTGGTGCGAACGCTAATACAATGCGTATATAGTTAAGGGTACGGTCGATTATATAAAATTAACAATGCTCTCAGCTTCATTTTAAACCGTAATACGTTGCGGGTAGATTTTAAAATCAACTGAGGTGATTTGACTAAATATGGTAACATGACGTGCTGCCGTGTGTACGTAGCGTTGATGATGCGCACTCCCAAAGCACGCTGGAAGAATGCGCGCAGAGATTAAAACGCTAATGTGGGTGTGGTATGTAGATAGGATGCTAGTGTCTAAACATTTACTGTTAAATTATATAAAAAGAAACATTATTACTCTACATGAAAATATTATCTAGATACCTATTAGTTATTATGTGATAATATAATAGGTATCTAGATAATTTTAGAATTTTTATTGATTTTGAATATTGACTTTTGGAGGTGGTAGGTACACACTAATTAATAGTTTCAATTTCAATAAAAAATATCAATGCAAAATTTGTGCCCTCTGCATATTGCAGCACGAAGTAAACGTGAATGCGGGAGTTGTATTAACATTAATATCTTGACTTCAACAGAAGTTTTTGGAGTTTACTAACCGCCATTTAGATAAGTATTTTTTTTTTTTGGTTTTTAAGCTCCTTTGAAGTCAGTTTTTTATATTTTTACTTTTTGAGCGGGGATTACTTTCGTGCTGAGTACTGTAGCATCAAATATCCTTGCGATCAAATCAAATGATGTGGGAAAAGGAGTACAATTATGTTTCTTAATTACATTGCAAAAAAACGAATAAAGTTAAAGTAAACCCAATTTAGAATTATATTTTCTTACTTTATTTTTGGCGCCAATATCTATAAGCACCATGGCGTCATTGTCGTACTACCTTCGTACTTCATTTTACTAGTGAAGTTTTGGAATCTTCAGCCATTGTAGTGTACGTAACGTAGCCTTGTGGAATAAATAATAAATTTCCTTATTACAATTTAAACATAATCGAACCTTACGTTGTTGTTTATTGTGTTCTATACGATAAAACGGAATAGAAAAAATAAACAATTTTTTTATTGAAATATTGAATAATGAAAGCAAAAGGACATATCAGCACTACCATTTATTTGAAAATAAGCAAACTTTTCCGATCATTTTTTTCTTTTGGAAATTTTTCATTCCTTTCCCTCTTATATCCAAATATGCATTAATGATGTATAATTGGATAAAAAACATTTAACTCTATTACTTTACTCTTTGTTCACTACTCTATGATTGACGTTTATTAAAATAGGGGTGTTGACTGGGTAAAAAAAAAAATATTTTGTCCGCCAGTAAGATAATACAAAAATATTAGATACCAATTTTTTTTACATCAATTTAACAAGGAATAGCTTATTGATTTCTTATATATTCACGCGCACTATAAAAGTAAAGTGTCCGAAATGTCATAAAAGAAAATATAAATGCGATGGAACCGTGTTTCTTATTTAAGATATAGCTTAGATAAGCATTCGAATTGAAGAGTGGCGACTCTATGTCACAGTTTCGTAGAAAATGTCCAAAAGCGTGACGTCATGTGACATTTCAACTTAATATAATGAAAAAAATAGTGTTTAATATACTTCAATAATCTACTTGATGGACAAATAAAAAAGTGTCATCATTCCTATTGTTTTGTACTTGTGCTAGTGCTGCAATCTGGCGACAGAAAGTTACAGTAATACATCATATTTTCTGTCTCTTTTCTTCAATGCCCGTTACGAATGCAACGAATGTAGCGCCTCTATATTACTTTACAATTTGAAGGTGGCTTAAAAGCATGCTTTACGGTAAGCGAAGCGAAGGAATGTTGCATGATATTTCATTCGGATTTAGAACATTCTGTGTAGCTTTGTGCTTGATTTGTAGTTTAAGGTTATTTTTATTGAATCCTCTATTTCAAGTTAACATAATGTATGTGAATTTTTTGTAACAAGTTTAATTACATTTTTTTTTTCGGAAATATATACTTGATTATTCTTTGTGTTTAAACCAATATCCCACTTGAGTATACAGTTAAAATTAAATAGAAACAATTATCTTTCAATATTTAATGGAGTTGTTGAGTCAAATAACAATTGTTTTTGATAAATAATTTTCATAATTAAAGAAAGATTGCTTGTTACAAAATCACCCATTGTGCCCCACGCCTTATCACAAGTATTTAACTCGCGGTTGCATTCCCCTTAGTATTTAGTGTTAGTTTTTATGTTTTTCTGTTTTTAGGCCATTGGACGGTTCAACCCCGAAGCATGCAGTAGGAGCTAGCCCACAAACCATGCTTGGGTAATTATCTCCCGTTCATTTTATAGATGTTCTATGTTGCGAAGTCGATTTCGAACCTATCCTGCCATTTTCATATTAATAATTTTATTTTATATGCCACAGGCATATTGAGTAATTCGTCATTTTACAAACGTCTGGCTTCTTTGTTCCGTCTATCTATAACTTCTATTCATACACTAAAGACTATTGAAATGGTGAATAGATCTTCCTGTAACTTGATGCCTATTATATTGAATGTATGATTTTTATGAAAATCAGCTTCCCAATATATGAAACGACTTCGTAAAATAAAATATCTTATTCCACTTTTGTGTTTCTTTACTGTTATTATTAATGTAATTTTGAGTAAGTAATTTTAATTAAGATAATAATACTAGTTGTTTCAATGATAGTATACAGCCGCATATTTGGTTATGGCAAAATTATGCAATCTATTTTGAGCTTAATTAATAAAACATTAAGTTTTGAAATTGGTTGAATAGATTTCTTCAGTTTTAAATAAAGTGATGATGCTTTAATTTATTTTATTTGATTATAAAAATGAGTTTACTTATTTGTAGTCACGAGTTTTTTTCAATCAGTCTATTTCACTCTGTCGATTAGAGTGGCTTGCTAACAATTTTTTTAATGTTATTTCTCGAGATGCATTAGAAAATAGACTTACAGTCCATTGCTCAAACGCCCATTAAAATTGTCATTAGTTTAAAGCGACATTACCAATATAAATTTAGAACTTTCATTAGAAACTAATGTTGTCTTTAAACCTCAATTAATGTTTTTGCAACTGGGCGTTAGTTATTAAAGATGTATGTATTGATTTACTGTAGTTGTACACCTCCACTAGATAAATGTTAGTTTTAGAAAATCATTACTTAGAATTAATAATTTTAACACAAATGAGTATCTAGTGTATAAGGTTATTTTTGACAATTTGAGCTTATACAAAAATAAATTCAAATGTCCACAAAAATAACTATTAAAATATTTTATTATTGCCATAGAGTAATTAATAGCGAGATTTTCACCATGTACCTACTCATGACGTAGCGAACAGCGGTTCGGGTAACTAACGTTATAGGACTCGAAATGGGGTAGATTAATATATTTGCCAATGATATTCACCCGCAATTCTTCAGTTACTCCTTGATCATTGCACTTACAACATATTGGGGAGACGTACAGAATGAAGTGTACGGTAAAACGATTTTTTTAGATGTTTAACGTGGTAATTTTTATAAATACTTCATTGAAAGAACTCTGTCCGACCGCTCTGTGTCCTTAATTTTACCTCCCCCCCCTCCCCATTTTTCATGTTCTGGGCCAGTCGTCCAGTTTAGAATATTGTCCCTCATGGGACAGTGTCCACGGTCGGTGGAAAGGCAAACGAGCATATGTAGAGGTAATTCAATGTTGAGCCATTAGTCTGCGTTAATAGATCATAACCTTCTCACGATCTGTCGTCTGCGTCCGTCCCCAATTATCCGCGAATGAGGTTTCAGGTAGAAAGCTCAGTTGGATCAGATTAGAACCTTTTTGTGTCCCTACTGCAGGGGCTCAGGTTTTATGGATGGTTAAGGAGGATGAGCCAGGACCAACGGCTTAATGTACCTTTCGAAGCACGGAATAGCTCGAGATAATAATTTTTTTGTCATCCATCCCGTGACCGACCTTTACGAAAGTTGCTTCATAACAACGATCGTGGGCAGCGAAGTTTATTCATTACGCCACCGAGATACACTATTTCCATTTTTTTCCATAAGATATACAACGGCAAAGGTATTACTGTGGTATAATTTTATAAATAGCATTGGCGCGATTCGTCCGATCTGAACCGAAGAGATCAAACTAAAGTCTTTAAGCAGAAGAGTACTAATGCACTTGAAATATAGGCTATAAATTTGCATCCACATTTGAGTCCATAAGTGAAATGTTCATCGTTGTAGGTATAATTTCAGCTGCGGTTTCGTATTGTATATACAATGTTTCTCGGTCTACTATTTAATTTGTGATACTAGAGCCTAATTTAAATATTTGTCAAGCTTAGCTCTGATATCTGATCAACGCAAATGGGATAAATGCGTGATTGGATGTGTTTTATGGTGTTCACAGGCAAGGTAACGAGGAGCAGGTGAAGCCGCGTGTGCTACGGTTCACGTGGAGTATGAAGACCACATCGTCCAGGGATCCCAATGAGATCATGGCGGAAATACGCAAGGTGAGCAATTAATATCTACAGGATGAGAATGTTACGTAATATTTGCGGATTAAAGGTCAGCGCAACTCAGACGGAAGATCAGTAAAGCGTCTTAGTGAAGAATACGCCAGTATGCGACGAGTGTGCAAGGTCGAATGTTATATCATACTATTAACGGTGTGCCGTATCACAGTTTATTTTGTCCCAGGTTTCAACATGCAAACTTTTTGGGGAAATGGAGATTGTATATATAGTGGATGAATATGAAATTCTTTCAGTTCAGTACTGTTACAACTTGACTGTTCTGGGAAAAGTATTGTAAAATTTTATATAATTATGTAAAACTATAATCACATTTAATTTTCTCCAAAGAATATGGGAAAAGCATATTTTTATTAATTAATTTAAATTGTCCCGCGCAAACAACGTGACGTTTCACTCGAGCCGTGACGTCACATTACAATGACTAACGTTTAGTTTATTGAAATGTGACGTCACATGGCGCTGCTTCGTGTCCGCTCGCGTTTCCTTCTTGATTTATTTTTTGTAAAATTTGTTTGTTTCCTGTAATTTATTTTAAAACAAAAAATACACTCTTAATTTTTCATATAAGTTACCATTTCCAGCATATTTCAAAATATATAGTTGCCAAGTAGCTAATTATATGTGATGTTTATTTGCGAACAGGTGTTAGACGCAAACAACTGTGACTACGAGCAACGCGAGCGGTTCCTCTTATTGTGCGTGCACGGCGACCCTAATGCGGACTCGCTCGTACAATGGGAGATCGAGGTGTGCAAGCTGCCTAGACTGTCGCTCAATGGCGTACGCTTCAAGAGGATATCCGGTGAGATATAATTTATTTACAGTCTTTTTAATCTAAATGAAAGACCGTCTGTTACACAGTTTGCAGGAATATATAGGTATTTAAATATATATATATTGATGGGTCAGAGTTCTATGTATGTATGAAGTGTAAAATCTTGAAGTGATATATTGAAAGTGTAAATTATGACATTTTCTATAATATCTATTACTCGTCATTTAGAAGCAAATTTTAGTTTTATGGAAATTATATACGTGTTCGTATTCGTTTTTTATATACCTTTAGAAGTGTACTACATAGCCCATTAGATTATAATGTAATTTTTTTTAGTGTTTATTATCACCAAAAAGTCAATTCAACTATTTATATGCAGATAGATTGCAAAACAGTCGAGATATATAACAGAAATCTGTTAGCAGTTTGTTTAATAACAACGTATCGTCATCCCCCCCAGGCACGAGCATCGGCTTCAAGAACATTGCGTCCAAGATCGCGAACGAGCTCAAGCTGTGACTGCCCGGGAATGCCCCGCGCCGGCGCCGCCGCCGCCGCGCCTCCCCCCCGCAGCCGCGCGCGCCCCCCGGGCCCGGCCCCGCGCCCCCCGGCCCCGCCCCCGCGCCGCGCCTGCTCGCCCCCGACCCGCCCTCCTCCAGCGACGACCGCGACTCGCCCCCGCCCCCGCCGCCGCCGCCCCCGCCCCGCACCGACTCCCTCCGCCTCTCGGCCGAAGACATGGTCTTCGTGGCGAACGGCGGCATGAGAACACCGTCAGGTGCGTTAGCCCATTTCCTCGCAGCCTACACTCCCGCGGAACTGTCTTTAGCCCGGAGTGATTATCTCCGCCCCCCGCCTTCCCCCCGAACTCAGCTCCTCCCGACTCCGCAGCCTCGCTCCTCTCTATCTTTGCGAACGGAGAGCGTCGACGTCGAAAGATCTCGCACTCTCCGGCCGAAGATGCAGCACCAGTCGTACTCCTACAGCGTTCACACCCTGAGGCGGCAACCACGCGCTCGTTCTCCCCCCTGCGATTGTTTGCCCACTGATCCTATTCCCCCGCCGGAGCTGTTTGATTTTTAAACTTCGCTCTTTGGACGCGCAGAAAAAAAAATTGTGAACAGTTGAATTTCGAACTTTGGATCTCCAGAAAGAATTGTGTCGATTTCTTTTATCAAACTCCCAACCCGACTTGTTATTTAGGTTATGCTTTTCAGTTCGATGATGGAATTTCGAAATCTACCAAACGTCGTCGCCGCCCCGGGTATCTTTCGAATTTCATATTTTTGAAGATCGAATGATCTGTAAAGGTTTGATCGAAAATCGATTGAAAATAAATAACGATACGTGCGTGCTGTTGTGATTGCGATCGAACGGTCGTATCATTCGATTTTGTTTTTAAATGAACCGATTAATATAAATAAGCGGCCGCGCTCGAGTCGATCATGATCATCGACCTTCTAACGAGACGGTGGTTTCCACCGAGCTAGTGAATGAAATGGTGACTTAAGATGTTTTTAATTTAAATTATCGATAGAATAAATAGTGTTGGACGATCGAGAAAAGGTTTCAATGTGCCAATTGAAAACGTACAGAAGGTGATGTGTATGGTTCACAGATTGTGACTATATGATCGGTAAAATGAAAAAAAAAAACCGATGCTTTTTCTCTTTTTTAATTGTAATTGTAAACTAAATTCGATTATTTAAAGGTTTAAATGTGAATCCGCTCTCAATTTACGCCACTTGTAATATAATTTTTACTTGTTACAATGAATTTCTATATTTTCTTTTATTTTTCTTTTTTTCTCTGTAGATAAGTCGGCCGTCGGACGACAAGCGCGCCGTTTGTTCCGAACACTTATTTCTTGATTTTTTTAATTGTTTTTGATTATAATTTCAAAGCGTTGTCGATGTTATGAAATTGCAATTTTTTTCTTAAAAGACATTTTTGTGCCGGCATGTCGCCCGTCGGCCATTCGTGCTATGCTTACCTTATTGCGTATTTACGTATTTTTAATCATATTGTAATAATGTACAAAGTGAGTTTACGCTCAAGAATACAATTTAGCGTTAGTAAATTAATTATATATTTTTTTCCAATTATAATGACAAATAAAAATATACAAACAAAAAAAACAATATGGCTGTCGTCGAATAGCGATATTAATGTTCATAATGTATCGATATAATTATGTCATTGTAAGTCAGTATAATGCCGCCAGTTTATGTTGATTCAGTTTAAAAGGCACGGCACGGCTGACGCGTGTTGAACATAAAATGGTTGTATAATCGCGCGATCGCCCACCGCAGTTGTCTCTTTCTAATTGTAAGGCTGAATTAGAAAGTGTCAAAGTAATGTTCCCAATAACTTTAACACAATCTAGATGCATCGTAGGGTTTATATATAAAATAACTTCACTAATTGAGGATATTAGACGTGTACTGTATTTGTGATGAAAGTATTATGGACTTTGTAGTTACATAGCAATAATGTTCTTTGTTCATCGTGTCAAATTTGAATGTGTCCCTCCTTCTTTATTTGTACTTTAAATAACCCGTTTGGAACGCATTTTCAGCCTGCAATTTGTTCATTAACAGTTTTCGGTTTTTGTGATTTGGTGTGATACGCTTTCATTTTCTATATGTGTGTGATGTTTCGCATACTTACTAGGTGATAAATAAATAAATATATATAAAAAAGAATAGTTTGTATGTACGTACGTAACGTGTAAGCTGTGCGGCGATCGCGTCCCTTTTTCTATAATATAATTAAGTGTAGTGTTATACTTTTACATGAAATCACAAATCTGACATTCTCGTTGAGTTCAGAAGTTCCGTCGCCGCCATTTTGACAATTCAATGCATGTCTTCGTGATACAAGGTATTTTTGACTGAGGATTCGGTGTCGATATCGATATCGATAAAATTGTATTCGTTACTTCACTAGTTGGACTTTTCTAAAGGATATTGTCATAATAGTGTAAAAGCAAGGGAATTTTGTAAATGTTTACTGTTAAAAAATGTATTATATATAATTATTACGATAAAATATTTCTCCCTTGTATTTCCAACGCGAGATACACTGTATTTATGCTCTTCAGTAATGAATTTAGGTGTAAAAGTTACTCATTTGATGTACTTAGTGTTAATTTTTTCATGTTTATAGTTGTTATTTAGATATTCCTAACATGAAATAAGTAAAAAAATGCAATAACTTTAACGCCGTGACGCTGTCACTCGCTAGAAATGAATCACCTATAGGTATATATATAAAATATTGCTGTTTTCAAAGAAAGTGGTTACGTACCAGTGATTACAGGTTTATGAAACAGTACAATGTTAAAAATAAAAATATATTTACATTACAATATGATCATAATAATATAACTTGAATTATAAAAAACAAATACCTTCAAAGCAAAAGTACATAGAAAAGTTTTTTCCGAAACGTAGTTTGAGTTAAAATGGCGCGTATCTCGGCGGAAGTGACGTCACACAAGATGGCGGCGCGGTTCACCCGGGGTACATAATACTGTTTACATACTGTAGTAATATATTTATATATATATATATATGAGCTTTGTTTCACGATATAATTTAGTGTAGAGTCGGCGCCTGGGTTTGCTCGGGCCCGGCGCGTGGTACGCCCTTTTGTGAGATATTCAAGTGGAAATAAATTTTATTTTTAATTCCGAATTGATTTTTTTATTTATACTATATGAAGTGAAAGTGGAATTGTTGCCCTTATATGTAGGTATTATTATTTCTATAAACATTATCATAATAACCAAGTATTGGATAATGTCACAACAATTAACGAGTATCATGGGAAATTGTCAATTTCCTGTAATACTTGGTAAATGTGATATTGGTAAAAAAATTATGGTAACACAACCATACGAGCAGATATTTAAAAAAAAGTAATCCGCTTGGGAAATGAACCTGAGATCTCAAAGAATTAAAAACCGGCGTGTGATCCATTCGGCTACGGAGGAACAGTTATGTATTTCTTATATTAAGATACAGATTTACTAGTCTCGAGGAAGTGTCACCGAGAGTATATACCTTTGTATTGCGATGTGTATGTATACTTGGCTACCAGTATTGTACTCGTCCACTTCCTAGTCTCATGGCACCCATCGTGCTAGACGCCGTGCGATGTATCATCTATGAATCAGTGAAACAGCAGTTCCAAATGAAGGAACATTGAAGATTATGTGGCCTGTCTTAAATTAAAATCTATCGCATGCCGTTTCGAAGTTATAGCGATTTTCGCTAGCATGTAACGTTTAAAGTCATAACTGCTTTAGAACAATGATTTAAATGATCGAGAAACATAATAAAAACTTGATATTTTACCGCCCGTTGCACAAACGTCCACAAATGGCATTAATTTAAAGCGACTTTACCGAATAGAGGTTAAATACGTCATTAAACCTAATCGACGTTTGTACAACTAGACGTTAAACTTATAGTAACATATTTGACTAACGCCTGACTTATAGAATTCGAATTAAAGTTGAATTATATATATATATCGTGGTCACAAGTTCATCGATATCGTTCAGATATTAAATACTCAATAAGTTTATTGTTTCAACAACAATAATATAAAGGAGATGCACTAGTTTTTATAATTTAAACATAAATATATTCGATTTTGAAATTAGACAACTGGTACCTAACAGAAAGCTTAGAATGTTATATATTTGATTTATTTACCATTGTGGTTGGAGATTTATTTTTCATTTACGAGTATATGTTTGTCGGCTTACTTGTTTGCATTCAATGGTCAACTCCACAACAACTCGACCGGTTTTAAAATTCTATCTTTTATACCTAATTATAATTCTAAAAGTCTAGGAAAAGCTTCATCACCACTGGTGACACAGGCTGTAGTGTAAGTTTTGATTTTTTATCCGTGGTTGCCTATTTTTATTGTATCTATGGTTATCTCCCGCGCTTAGTGCTGTCAACTTGTCATTATGACATTGTGTTCTTTTGTGATGTTTTGTTAGAAACCCAGAAACACCAATTTGTAAGAAACCCGAGTACACCCACAGAAATTAATAGATCATCGCCATATTTCATTCATTTCATTTTCATTTTACATGTAGAAATTTATTTATTCACTTGACATTGGCAGAATTGTGCGAAATGCGCAGATAAGCCATTAATAAAAGAAGAAGAAGATGTAAGAAACCCAGAATTTGGAAGTAAACTGATTGTTACTGAGTTTATAATTTTACTAATAATACATTATGGAAATAGCTATAGAAATAGTTTTTGAAACGGATTAATGGGTTTAACGAATGCAGATGCAATCGATACCAACGGCTTAACGTGCCTTCCGAAGTACGGAGGAGCTCAAGATAGTAAAATTTCGATCACCCATCCTATGTACGGCCCTTCATAGTTTCTTAACTTGCAGTTCACGTTCAGTTCAGTAGGTTAGGATACATATCAATAAAAAACAAATTATAATAAAGTTTTTATTTAAAAGTAACATCTATACAAGTTTCTATTTAATAATTTACAACTAGAATAATTTAATACTTGAGTATTGTAGAGACTTAAATTTATCATTGACTATCTTATGTCGTGGCTTATTATTATAAAAGGGTTTTGAAAATTTTAATTAGTATAAGCGGTTCGACATTAACTTCTTTCATATAAACATCCAGTCATAAAAAGAATGCCAAAAGCTGACAAAAATATAATAAAATTTAACTAATTGATAATAAAATAAAATTTGTAATGTTTATAACTCATAAATGCGAAAGTAAATGTTTGTCTACGTTTTACGTCTAAATCACTGAACCGATTTTAATGAAATCTGGTACAGAGATAGGTGACCTTGGGAAAGGATTTATCGCAAAAAAAGCGGTTGAAAATTATTAGTTTGCATGGAGGTTGGTCATTGAAAGTAGACTTTCAACGACCAGCAATTACAAACCTATTTACCATGCGGAAAGTCTCTGACAAAAGCTAGTAGCATTATATCTCGGAAACATGCAAAGGTATTATATTGATTGAGCAGTGAATCTATATCCAGCTGGCAGTCAGAAAGAGAGGAAAGATAACGGTACCGTATCTGTCTCTATCTACCCGTGCATGTGCGGAAAGGGAGCATAGTAGAACGATTCGAGTCGACGGTTTGTTTCGTAATTGTTTACATAAAGCTATCCTTTACAGTGCATGTGTCAGTATAGAGAGAGACAGAGTAAGATGGGTTTCTCTCTCTTTCTAATCGATGGGCATTTCCTACATTCCTGTTCTATAACTGTTCTGGAAACTTACGAATAACATAATGGACATTCCTTTCAGCTCTTGAATGGCTATTTATAAAAAAAAAATCAGGTAAATCGCTATTTACACCTAGGTTTCCTAATTACTGAATCCCTTCTTCTATTATCTTAATTTATCATCACAAATCTTGTAATGGTTCGAGTCGCAATCAAGTGCGCGTGGTTCACAGCGCAAATGGTTTCATACCTTTTCGGTGATCTAACCCACTACATATATTTTGAAGCAGAGGTGTTAATCATTCTGCTATACACTTACATATTCGTCTACAGCTCTGTAGATTTAAAGCACAGATTACATTATTTGGCCCCTAATTGTAAAGTTGTACCATTTTCTTTTGGTAATTTAAATTTAGTACGTCCTTAAAAATTTACGATTGATTCTTACTTTTGTTTATCGGTAGACCATCTAGGTCTACCTCAGTGCTGGGTATTAAAGGTGGCTTAAAACCTCCGTACTCTATCCTCAGCTTGGTTACTTTAGGAGTCCTGTCTGTACGTCTAACCTTCATTTCAACAACGTAGTCTTTGTTTTTTTGCCACCAATCATCATAATTTGCCATAGGAGGTGGTCCGTGATAATTATTTGACTGTGCATTAGTCATGTAATTTATGTAGTCGACTAGATTTCTTTTGAAGTTGAAGTCCTTTGCTTGCTGACTTGTATTAACATATTGGTACGAAGATGCGTACTGGTTTCCCCAATGCGTACTCTGCACTGGCTGTTTAAGGTTTTCTCTTAAATGCTGAATTTGAGATTGTGTTGCATGTAGAATGTTTTTCTGCGCTTGATTATGATTTAAACCTTTCTGATTGTCCACGTTGTCGTATTTTATATATTGTGGCGCAATTTGGGATTGTTGTTGTTGCTGTGTGTTGTGGCTATAACCATACGAATACACGGCAAAAGGTTTCTCGATTATTTTCTCCACTGGGTATGGCACTCGCACTGGTATATGAACTGGCTTCTCCACTATTCTTTCAACTGGATAAGGCACTTTTACTTCGTATGGAACTTGAACTGGGTAGGGCACTCTTTTCTCAACTGGATATGGTTTGTCCACGTATTTCGTGACGACCACTGGTTTCTCCACTATTTTTTCCACAACAGTTTGTACTGGATAAGGTACTTTAACGGGCACTTTCTTTTCTACGATTCTATCCACCGGGACTGGGTAAGGAACCTTTTTTTCTACGATTCTATCGACTGGATAAGGTTCTCTTACATGAATAGGTACGGGGACTGGTTGCGGTACCGGTACTTGAATGTGAACCGGCCTGTCTACATATTTAGTAACAGTTACTGGTTTCTCGACAATTTTTTCGACTGTAACCGGGACCTTTTTTTCGACTGCGTACGGTACTGGTACCCTGGTCTCGTATGGGACTGGGTACGGTACTCGTTTTTCGACAGGATATGGTACTGGTACCTCTTTGTGCACAACCCTTTCTACTGGTACAGGTTTTTCGACTTCAATAGGTACAGCCACAGGGGTTTCTATTGGAACTGGATATAATACTTTCTGTTCAACCGGCACTGGTACTTCGACGGGTACAGCTACTGGTGTCGGCACTGGCACGGTCTGTATTACTTGTTTTTCGACAAGTTTCTCTATTGGATACGGCACGTGTACAGGACGGTCTACGAACACTTTTTGTTCCACTGGATAGGGCACACCTACCGGATACGGATGATGAATTTCTACTGGATATGGTTTATCTACATATCTCGTTACTTCCACAGGTTTTTCGACGATTTTCTCATAAGGGACAGGAATAGGGACAGGCCTATCTACAGGGACTGTTTTCACTACCTCGACTGGCTCTGGATAAGGTACCTGTTTTTCGATGAAACGGTCTACAAATTGAGTAATCGGCACCTGCTTTTCAATAACTATAGGTTGAATAATTTTTTTACTGTCGTATTCATTGTAATAGTCGACTAGTTCACTTCTTTGATTGTCGGTGTCATCATTTGGTCTAATTTGTACGTGTGATTGCATATTTTCACTTGAGTCTAAATTATCTTCTTCATTATTGTTATCTTGTTGGAGATTATTTTGTTCGTCATCATCATTCCTTCCATCACCATTTTTACTTTCGTAATTGTTCATTGTTCCATATTTGTATAGTATGTCGTTCATATTCTTTTGAATCTTCTTAGAAGACTCTATAGCGTCTACATATCGGTTAAAGAGAGATTTTGCGATGTCAAATGGACCTTTCTCATTACTTCTTCCTTCGTCTAAGTACTCGTGTACTTCGACGTCGTTAATGTGTGTTATTGAAACTGGAATAGACTCTTGGATTTCAACAATAGTTTTCTCTTGTTTAGGTCTCTGTACTCTTTTTGGTATATGTTCACTGTCTGAAGCTTCATGATCTTCAACTGAGTTTAAAGTTTCAGTGTCATTTGCATTCAAAAGTCTAAGTGCAACAGTAATAGGTGCTAAATATTTCTGCCCGATAGGTCTGGGAGTAACATCAACAGATTTGTATTGATTTGCATCATTTTCAATCTCCTGTTTTTCATCTTGAAAAGTATTTTTAACGCCTACTATTTCATAACCATCTGCAATATATGGGACCATTGTAGATACTAAATTATTTACAATTTGTTCTTTATAATTATTGTCACTTGTATCCGCCACTACTATCGGTGTGACAAATTTATATTCCTTAGGATTTGTTTGCAAAGCATGTTGTTTTCTTCCATTTTCAATGTTCCTACTTTCAGAATCTACTATTTTGCCTATCTTTGCTTTCACTGTAAATTTATTTCTTGGCCAATTATAACTAGAGCTATATCTGGACTGTTCGCTTTTCAAACTGAATCTGGACCGGGGTTTGATCAAATCTTCTGTGTTTATATTGACATGCTGTTCAGCAGCGTGATTTATTCTCAACAAATCTTCATTTGATACGAGATCTTGTGTAGATTCTACTAGTTTAGTTATGCCTTCGTCTTTGTAATATTCATTATTATTTGTAGATGTTTGTATCGAAGGAGATATTGTAGTGTAGTAAAATCTTTCACTTCGTGCATTCCCTCGGGGTTGTTCTACTCTAAAATGCACTGCCCCTCTATAAGTAAGAGCTCTTGGAGTAGTGTCCTTTTCACCAAAATTACCATTTATATTTCGCACTTCATAATTTGATAGTTCAGTTGAAAGTTTATTAGGTTTGCTTGTATCATGTTCGATTTCTTTCACAACTGCATCTGAAGTAGTATCGTCTTGTGAACAGTTGTGATCTTTGAATACTTTAACAAGTGATGTGGTTAGTACCTCGTGTTCTTGCTCGTCTTCTTTTTTAAAAGGATTTTCGTTTGATTTATATTCATTCTTGTAAGCTCGTGGAGGGTGCTGCTGTTGCACATTATAAAGGGGTGTTGTAACTCCATTATTCGTTAAATAAAAATAAGGTTGAGAATTATATTGTACTAAATTTGCTGGAATGGCGCTGGGCTGAATTTGGAAAAGTTCTTGGTCGAGAGCTGGATTATATTGTTGTTGAAGGAGGTATATGTCTAAAGGAGGGTCACTCTGTTGTTGAGGTAGAGTGTTTCCGTTTGCATCTGTAGTCACTTGATGAGTTTGAGTTGGAACCTGAAAATAAAAGTAATTGTAAGTTAGGAGTTAATTTTGAGAACATACAAAATTAAATTAACCAGACTACGATCCACTGTGGAACATGTAGGATTGTGTTTGTATTCATCCCAGTAGAAAAGTATTTCAGAGACTTGGCTACTCCCGGCCTGGTGACTTATTTCTCGGATCTCGAGTGGGGAAGCCTCCGTGGATCCGTCGGATTGGTCCTCTCACACACCTACACACCACACTCTCTTATTGCTTGCCAGGCGACAGAGTAGTGCCATATGAATTTTTCACCCTGTTTTATTCCATATTTCTCTTAAATTATTTCATAAATTCTATCTTTGGCAATAATGACGCCTTATATGTCGCACACATGTTGGTTCTAAAATGAAATATGTTTTCGACGTAGATGCAGCTGGATTTTTTTTATCGAATAGTGTATTTAAGTCATTTTTGTAAAAAAGTCGGTTAACAGATTTTTCCTGCATGGTGCTATATATCTTCTCTTTCAAATAATAAAAAGCTGGTAATAGCTATCCCTCTAGCCTTAAGCTGAGTTAATATCAAAGTCAAAAAAATCTTTATTTAAATAAACTTATAAGTACTTTTGAATCGTCCAACATTTTTTACCCTACCACCCGTTTTAGGACGTCTTTTGAAGCTGACTAGAAGAGCCAACGAAAGAAACTTACCTGCTCTCACAGAGGCAACAACATTTCAAAGACTATCGGCTCTCACAGAAACAACAACATTTACAAAGACTATCGGCCGATTCTGATCTAAAAATCTCTACTGATTATTTCTAAAAAGTCCTAGTTTTATTAAACTGCTATCAACTGGTCATTAAAAATATATAAAATCAGAAAGGAAAACCTGTTTAAGATTATTTAAACCGGTTTGAGACGTGCTTTACTATAAATTCTCAATTCAGAAACCGGGAGTATATCATCACTAGTTAATAATACTAATTAATTAAGGAATATCAATCATTTATTTTAATAAGTAAGGTAAACGCACCAGTCATGGACAGTATAAGAATAAATTTGACATTATGAGGCTATATTTTGAATACTGTAACTGTTTATAAATGCAGTCAGGGTCAATTATACTACAATACTAATGGAGAATCATTATCTTTATTAAAATTATTAATTACTTACTGTATTAAAAATATTTTTGTGAAAAACTGAAGCCCTATTAGAACACTAGTGATGGACAGGCATCACCCAGTGCATAACACCCAGTCATGGACGTCCCCGCACATGGACATCCAATCATGGACATGGTTTTAGTCTGCTTTTATTGAAACTTGTACTAGGCTGGTCAAGCCGTCGATACTCTTCTATTTCATGGTAATCATCAAGGAACTTTTCATCACATTCACTTTCCTGGTATTCTATATCTGTTCCCGGTTCATCAGAAGAAGAACTCGATGTAACTTGTCTCTGCTTTACTATTTTCTTTGTAGATTTCTTACGGTTTTTTATTTTCTCTATATTAATTATCTTCTTTTGAATAGCTTGTTCTTTTAACACCTTTTTTTTCCCCTAGCCTTTATTCGCTTCTCCCTTGCTTCTTGCTTTTGTCTTTTCTCATTTTCTATTTTTTTTCATGTAGGCCATCCATGCATTGCTTGTAACAGCTGACGGTAAGCGTTCTTTTATGCGTGGTTTTTTTTTATTTCAGGTTCTGGCCAATACAAGGCACGTTTGAATGGAGATGGAATAATGAAGTTCTTTTGAAAGGCTGATGTTGATGGGTTAATAGGTGCTTGAACATTTTTAGCGGGTGTGAAATAGTCTGCTGAGATGGGATTATTTGCGATATGAGAAGTTGAGGTAGTTTTACTCGGTGTCATGTGAGCTGGCTGCTGGGTTATAGCGTCGGATGATCTGTTAGTACTCAAGTTTTGTTGGCTTGGTTGAAAAACATTTTGTTGTGGAAGTTCGTGCGGTATTTCAAGTTCTAGTGGTAATTTTTCTCGAGGGTCGAGGTCCTCAACAATAACCTATTTTGTTTCATTAGTGCCTTCTGATCGTGGACTTGTAATTGACTCTTCTATTTGCGAATTGTAATTTTGAATCAAATCTTTTTTATCTGTTAGCTTTACAACTTGTGGGAGTTCATGCGGTGTTTCATGTTCTTGAGGGGTAGATTCTTCATCACAAACCTGTCTTGGTTCATTAGTAGCTTCTGATTCTGGATATGAAATTGACTTTTCAATTTGTGTATTGGAATTCGATATAATATTTCTTTTATCTATACGTGTTCCAACTGATGAATTGTCTAAAAGTGTGTTTTTATTTTTTGACCATAAAACGTACAATGATAAATCTTTATTAGGCAGTAGATTTTCGACATCAGTCTTTTGCGACCAGTACATTTGGTTAAATAATATCAATTTATCTTTCGAAAATATGTTTATGATTTCTGATTCCAAAGTTTTTACGGAATTTGCCTGTTCTGTTACGCTATTATTTTTAGGTGGAATACGGTTTTCAGCACTAATTTTGGACATGTCGACATACTCAGGGCCAAAAGGAAAAAGACCGCTTTTGCGGAATCCATTTCTAATTGTATTTGCAGACAATTTTTCTATAGCTACTTGCAAATTAGGAGCGAAATTAGCTTTTTTAAGATGATGTCCTGAGTTTTCGGTCTTCCACATGGCTACTTGATTCTTCTACTTAGTTCTGTCAAATTGTCAAGCACAATTACGAAAGAGCACCTTGATAATTATATTGTTATTCTAATCGCATTGTAAATCTATAATAAAATAGTTGCCAGTAATGGACACCCAATTAGCAACACCATCACCAGTTATGATTACCCAATCATGAACATGCCATTTTTTAAATTCAATAATCATCACTGTGTTACGTAAAATAACAATAGTTAGGCTTTTTTATGAACATTATCAACCATTACTTAAATATTTAGTAATAATAAATTAAAAATTTCCCAAATTGTTCATGACTGGTAAGTAACACTTTTATTTATCCAATGATGAACATTGTTGTATTTGTAAATTACTATAACCATTTTGTAATATATCAAGCTGTAGGCTATTCTTAAATATACTATTAAATCACAAAATAATGACTCATTCAACATAATAACTGTACCGGCTTTAACATTAATTAATTTTTAAACTTACCTGCGCCACGATGCTTACTAAAAGATCGGATATTTTTTGAAATCGTCTGAACCACGTATTCGTATTCAGTTTATTTTGTTAATATGGCCGACAGCTGTCAAAAAAAAATTTCTAGGCTCCGGATTGGATAAGCACATTCATATAGTGTTACCATTAAAAAAAAAAATAGTCGGATTTTGTAGTTATTGGCGATTTAATGGTAATATGTTCATGATTGGTGCACTGTCCATGACCGGGTCGATTACCTTACGTAATAGTTTTTTCAATCACCTGTAATTTGTTGACTTCCCACGCTCTTGTGAATGTTGCCGAATGCGTGTGCTGATGATCGCTGGTGTTAACAGCTAATGCTCCATGATACCCGTTGGCGTCGGCTGCATAGTTCACCCTTTGCTCTGACTGCAATGAAGTTAAATAAAAATTACTAATTACTGATAAAAATATATATATATACAGTCTGCAGAGCGATTTCGTAAAAATCCGAACCCGAATTCGAATTCGCTTCAAAAGCAATTTTTGTTGGAAAGCATTGTTTTGCTTATGGGGTACTAATAAGCAATACAATGCTTTTCAACAAATAAGATAAACAAGAAAGTTAAGTAACTTTCGCAATGGCAGGTAATACGATGGGTGACCAAAAACTTATTATCTCTAACGCTTCTGTTTTTCAGAAGACACTATTCGTGGCCCTTTAAACGCAATTTGTATTTTTTCTATAAAATAATATATATATTAGATTACAGTGAATTATAAATGAATATGGAAATTTTCATCGATAAAAAAATCATTCTGATATCATTTGGCATTGACTAAGATACTAATAAGGCAAAGATCTAAACAATTCACCCTCGTTTAAAGTAAGTATTTGTTAACTTGCTTATTGAGACTAGGATACAAATGTATATATAAGACATATATAATACCTGTGGTAGTTTGACATAGTACTGTCCGACGGTCGCCACCCCCTGAGGCCCTTGTTGCCACCCCCACTCAAAGCTAGAGCCGCCTTGTTGAACTTTCTGTAAACAAATAGAACAATTTTTATTTGTTATTATATTAATCTTATTCAATTAGGGATTACATTCAGATAGGATAAAACCCCAATACTTATATTTTATTTAAAAAAATATAACGTTATTAAATGTATTAAAATTTTTATTCGTACTAGCTTACTTTTTTTTATTTATTATCAAGTAAACAAACATATCGCCCATGAAGAGTCAATAAATAATAACTGACATTTTGTCAATTTTTGTTTTATTGAATTATTCGTTGTAAAATAGATTACTACATAATAGTGACAAAGATTTTGGGTTCGTTTCTTATGTTTTTGTAAGATAAACAATAATTGCAATGTACTGAAAAAACAATATAATAGATTTGAAACGTTTCTTTCGTCTCCTGAAAAGTTGCATAGACGATATATAAATAACAAACAATTTAAGATAACATCCAAAAACCATTGAGGTTTGAGTTGTGTTATCAGAGTTTACAATTTTATTTTCGTTATTATAAAATCAGATCCGTTATATTATTGCAAATAGAAACATAGTAATCAATAGACAATTAATATTAAAAAAGTATCTCTACTTTAACTATGACTAGATATGAATAAAAAAATATATATTGCCGCGCTTTTTAATATTGACTTTCGTGTTCCAGACACTAGGAAAGCGAAATTTTCATATCCCACCATCAAATAATGCTTAAATCTACCACTACTGATTTCTATCTCAGGGGGCCAATTCTATTAAATAAATTTTGTTAAAATCGAATCGAAAACGTATCGAAACCGAACGAAACTACAGTTTTTAATGGTTTTCCTATTCTACAAAGTGACATACGATACAATTCCAGTTTTATTATAGCTGTAATACGATGGGTGACACTTAGTAGAATAAAAAAACCATTAAATACTGTAGTTTCGTTCGGTTTCGATCCGTTTTCGATTCGATTTAAACAAAATTTATTTAGTAGAATTGGCTCCCAGATGCCTTACAGATCAGTATAGTTATAATTAATACATCACCTTTACAATGGCCAACGCTTTCCAATTGCATAATGATTTTTGTTCTATTATTTGTTCATTATCAAATCATGTTTTTCATGCTTTGTTAATGCAAATAATGGTTAGGTTTTGTTAGACGCGTCAATTATAATATAAAGAGACGATGTAATAATTTGTAGCTATTATAAAAAGTTAATTTAGTTATTAGAATAGTTATTTATTCGGTGAGGTAATATAGAAGATTATATTTTCTTTTTTGTTTCCAGTCTAGATCATTATGGTGCATTGAATCTAGTTTTAAACTTTTTTTAAGTTGGTCTTTATTATTATTACAAACAGGTAAAGTTTCTTATTTTGTTTGTGGGGGTTAATCTTCAGAAATACTGGTCCGACCATGAAAATTAATTCACTTACTGGAAGATATAAATATTATACACAGGTGACATATTAGGTTGGGGGAAAAGTCGTCGCATATAGCATACATAAATTTGTAATAAAATGTTTCTGCCTATTTTTGTATCGGTATCATTAGTGTCAATTAAAAACTTCGAATTAATATTAGGAAAATGTGTGATTTTTTATTTGTTTTTGTTACTTTGATAGTAAATTAGTGAATGTAATTAAGAAATTCGATAAATTTAAAAAAAAATATTACATAAAAGGTAAAAATGCAACGCAAGCCGCGAAAAAAACTGAGACGTTTATGGACCTAGTGCAGTTTCTGTGAGAGTAGCACAAACTTGGTTTAAGCGTTTTCAATCCGAAAATTTTGATGTCAAAGATGCACGTCGCTCCGGTAGCCCTGTTATGGATAAAATGGATGGCAATTTTGAAAAAGTGGAGCAAGATCGGCATATCAGCAGTTACGACGTAGCTGAAGAACTGAGGATTCACCACAAAACAATTTGGCGCATTTGAAAAAAGCTGAATACACAAAAAAGTTGAAAGAGTGTTGTTTTTCGTCATTATAACAAAGCTAGACCTCACGCATTTTTTGCCACTCAGCAAAAATTAAGAGGCATCTTTAGGCAGTATCAGGTTAACATCACGCGAGGATGGTTAAGGAGGAGATGCCATGACCCTCCACGCTGGCCCAATGCGGATTAGAGGGTATTAACGACTGCAAATGCAGCCGGGACCAACTGCTTAGTGTCTTCCGAAGCACGGAGTAGCTCGAGGTAATAATTTTTGGTATCCCATTCCGTGACCGTCCGTTGCAAGAGTTTTGCACTACGCCACCGAGCTACTAAAATACGTCAATAGCACAAATCTTTAAAGAAATGAAACGTTTATTAACTTTTGAAGAAGGTATTATTTAATTGAAAGTCTATGGTATGACAACGCAGTATTTATAACAGAATAGGACTGTAGTTACATGTTACAATTAGTGCGGCTTTTGTAAATAAAAACCATTTTTTTAAATTAATTGCAGAACTTTTTAATGGTTTCTATTTATTCGAAAACTTTTGCATGTAATCCTCTTCTACAAAGGGACTTGCATATTTATTAATTTTCTTTAAAAATAATGTAATTACTAATATTATAAATACCGAAGTCATTCTTTTCGTTATTTCACCTAAACTTCTGTGAACTAATTTTAATGAAATTTTGTACACAGATGAATTCTTGGGATATTTATGAGGGTGCAAAGTTAGTTTTATATATTCACGATTTAATTGTTCCAAAACTTTTGCAAATATGATGTAGTTTAAACAATTAGTCTTTCATCCCTTTTTAGTTTTCTTATTTTTAATAACGTACAGCTTGTTTGTATTTTTCTGTTAAATGTTCGGAATATATGAACCATTTTTCAGCGAAATAAATTTCATGACACTAAAATGCAAAATATGTACTAATAAACATATGACATTAAATTAGTTACATAAAATATTACAACTTTCATTATAACAGTTATAAACATAAACAAAGACGCACGAAAAACGTATTTTTTTTCGCTACCGTAGCACCGTATGACTTTGTTTAGTGCCTAAAGGGAATTGTTCAGTTTGTATGGGCACTTTGGCTTTGAGTGGACATTATCTACAGTTATAAAAAACATTATTTTTTAACATTTCATATCTTAAGGAAGTTAACTGTTGTAATATTTTCACGGGAAAGTTTAAAATTGTATATATATAAGCATGTGTAGTATTCCATTAACGATGTAACGAAAAGGCTATTTTTTTGTAACATACTTTAATTACCTTATCATCATATTAATTTATTTATGTTAGAAATAAGAAACAGAGATGTCTAAATAAAGAAATTGTAGATTTACACATATTTACCTTTAATTTGACAATACAATTCTACAAGCAAAAGACAGTACTTCTAAATACACATATTTATAAGAATAGACTTTACATAATCACTAAATAAATAAATAACACTGCTCATACAGTTTCTCTTCAGCTGGAGGCTGGCATTTGGGCAGTCAAAAAAGGCAGCTACATTTATATAAGTTGGTCACATGACGTCCTAATCTTTGAATCTTCCACAGCCTCTCCTAACGTGTGCTCTCCCTCTAACAAGACTATTCTCCTGATTTGTGCTCACCCTCAAGCACAACTCTTCGGCTAGGAGCGGCTGTAGACTTACATTTACATCTGCGCCTATTAACAGAAAAGACTATTTTAAAACACCTATTCAGTACATTTGCACATAACTACTTAATAATAAATTAACATTAAATATTGAACAACTAGTTAATAGTAGCAGTATTAATAGTACATATATCATTCTGATTTGTGCTCACCCTCAAGCACAGCAGCAGTGTTTCAGTTAAAATTAAATTGATTTAAAGAATTTTTTAAATCAATTTAACTTTGACTGAAGGAACTCCTGTTTAGACAGGCCTTCAAAAATGCATAACGTCTTCAGTCATTCCTTCAATATTGTTAAAATCCATTGTAAGATTTCTTTTTTACAAATGAAGCAAAATCTTGTATAAGTTCTATAGTAAATGTATGAAGTTTGCATGACAGACAACCATTCAGCCCAATTATTATAATATAAATGAGAATTACAGTCTACTGGTTTTTGGTACATAAAAGTTAAAATCAACAAACAATTTTACCTGAAGCCATCTGGGAACTGTCAGTTGCTGTAGTGAATCTCAACCCGGAACAAAACATTATGCTTGTGAATCAGATGCTCTTTTAAAATCCGGCAAGGTAATGTTCTGTATAGGTTCTGGAATATTAGAAGGAACTGTCTCTATCAGCTCGCTGCCAACATGGATGACAGATGTGATCAGATCCATGCATCTAAAAGAGTATAGTATATAATTAAATTATTTGTTAACAAAATGTTATTTAACGATATGGTAGCGATATATTAATGATTTTCATGTCATAAAAGAAGTTTAATTATAGTAATCATTAATAAATAAAAATAACTATAATCCTACCTGTCGTGGGGATATCCAATCAATAATTTCATTTCTAATGTGTGTTTCTCTGTCGGATATTGTTTGCAGTAGATGTGATCTAGTACGTAATATAGATCTTTCACAATTTATACAAAGCTGCCGACGATATTACAAGATTTAAATACATTCATTAAACCAAACAATTTTGAATTACCAATTCTATCTTTCTTCATGGATTTACCAAAAACAACACGTTAAACGATATCAATACGTTATTTAAGGAATTATTTTATATAAACAATCATTTTAATAAGAATTATCACTCAAACATATTTGTTGACAAAGTGAAAAGGTGCTGCCATATAAAAATCATTAATCGATTAGAAAGTAATCGATTGTTAGTGTAAATTAACTTATATCTAACCGAAAAGGATTATTTGTTATGTTTTTAACATATTTGATACATGATTTTGCAAAAGATCACTTACTGTATATACATTAATATATATATACTTTGATTACTTTCATTTGTATTAAAGTTAAAACTTATCGATTAATCGATACTATTAGTAATAGTACTTTAATAACATTTATTGATATGGAAACACATTGAAACATGTTAACAAAACACATCCGAATCCAAAAAATTCTTTTAAAAATAATATTTTTAATGTTTAGTTTCCCATGACGAGAGTATAAAAAATATTTTTTTCAGTTTTAATAATATTTTACTGTTAAAATAGTTTTTACTAATTAGCTTGTCCACCAAAAGCCAAAATTGAACAATTCCCTTTGTATCCGGCATTTTTGGCCGACTAGTAGTAGTTCCACAAACAAAGCACCATATCACCAAAACTATAAATCGTTAACATGCTGTTACTTCTACATTATTTCTCAGATATTAATGAACTATTTATTTATAAAATAAAAAAATGTTGTCAACTAGCCTATTGAAACATAGATTTTTGTGTACGCGCCTTCTTAAAATCAAAAGAACCATGACCACTCTCTCGCTTCGTTTAATACGGGCCTATAAAACTATGAGATATCAACAAAAAAGCAGAAATACAGCCATTCAGTGGCCACTTTCGTTGAGTTTTCTTGGCGACCACTCTTACTGTTTCCAGTTTTGGAATTTAACTCTTATATGGGGGTACTGGACAACTAGCTGGCTTCCTGATGTAACCACCAATGATACCAACATGATACTATTAAATTTTGTTAGAAACCTGACTAATAATGTCAACAGCGAAATCCGTAATCAATGAAAAATAATTCACTAAACTTCTTTAGAGGTCGGGCGGAGGTTTTGCGTTGGTTATTATTATTTGCTTCAATATAAATTTCGTAAATTACCTTTTACCTTTTCGATGTTCTTTTCTTTTTAGTTTCTTCCATTTTAAAGTCTGTTAAATTTTACTAGTTTAAGAGAGCAGGTGACGTCAAGTAAGGAGATGAGAAGATGGCCTACTTACTACTTGCTAAATAAATTATATTAACTGAAATTTATTGATTATTTCTTACATTTCTAAAGTTCGAAGTCGGGTCTATTATTTGGGAAAAATAATAATACATCCTCTTTTTAGGAATAAAAATTAATATAATAAAATATATGTCAACATAGTGAAAGTCTAAGAGAAGAAGATTTTACTTGTATTCTCGACATGTTTCTTCCAAATCTTAAATCTATACTTATATTGTAAAGAGGAAAGTTTCATTCGTTTGTTTCTTAAAAAAATATTTCAGTAAAGAAAGCGATGAACATATGATATAATATATGATATATCTATTCTTTTTGGATTTTGAATCGCTGGAGTAAATATGTCATCAAAATATTTAAGTGATACCTTATGAAAAGCATATTTTGGTTTAATATAAAAGCAAAAATACACTAATTCGGTTCCCATATAATTTATATGGAGCCACCTCGATAGAGCTTATGGCTATAAGCTGTGTAATAAAAAAATAATTTTGGAAATTGATTCATAATTGACGGATTTATCGAGTAACAAATACAAAAGAAACATGCAGTCGAATCGAGACCCTCTTCCTTTTCGATTTGAAGTCTATTAAAAATAATGCTATCGATAATATCGTTACTATTAAATATTTTATTTGTGCTATCGATTCTTTTGATTCTATCGATATTATAATTAGTTTTCAAAGGCTGCTATAGATAGTAATGCAACTCTCATGCTTTAGCCAAAAGTCATAAAATAATCATACGAAATATCGCTCACTGAATAGTACAGTGGCACAACTCAAAAACCATATTTCGAGAAACGCTCTCCGAAGTTATGAAAATTTAATATATTTATAATTATGAAAATCAATTTTTTTAGCAAAACAGTTAAATCATTTATATTATATTATTACTGTTAAGTTTTTATTTTTTCTTTAAATTATCTATGGGATGCCACCACAATGTTGTGGCGTTTTCTCGAAATAATGGTTTTTGAGTTGTGCCACTGTACAATTCAGTGAGCGATATGTTCAATACGTGTGGGCTATTGAAAGCTTAATTAATATTTATTTTATATTGAATCACCATGAAATGGTTATGGTTATTTTAAAACCAACACCATAACTATAAGAAAACAATATCCATTATCATATAAAGTAGAGAAGGGATTTCTCAGACGTTTCACTCTTACTGCAAAGTGAATAAGGCATATGAAACATCAAAATTTATACACATTTAAAACCGACTGTACATCGATATCCTCTTGTGTACTTGGAATATCTATTGCATATTTTTTACGATCGAATACACTTTACAATCTTCGATTTCGTCATGGAGTACAGTCGAGATGATAGATAGTCTATAGTTATATCTGTGAAGTACTTCAATTGACCTTATTTTTATGACAATAAATAATATTTATTAGTTTTGCAAAATAATATTTCATTTAAATCAAGGTGGTAAGAGCACAGGTATGATATTGAATTATGAATTTTCAGTTAGAAATCTGCTATATGGAAACATCTACTTTAGTCACTTGAAGATTCAACTGATTAATAAAATCTAAACGAAATTTTTGAAATTCTTTGTTACAATTATTTGCTGTGCATTGCCATGATATGTGTAATGAAACGGATCGTTAAGAAATAAATGAAAATAATAAAATAATGTTTGTTCCTAAATAAAAAAAAAATGTATTCTAAATCCAATATGGTGGATCCTATCCAGCAATGAAAACCGCATCGTAATGTTTGCGTGGTTTAGAACTTTAAAAACCAATCAGATACAAGGAATAAATAACATGGGCGTAGAGGAAAGTTGGCTACTTTTATTAGAAGAAATAATTGTCTAATTTTAAAACCTATCACAATCCCTTCCAACGCGTTTGCTATTTATGGAATGATGTAATGTTTAGAGTCGCAATCTCTTATGGAATGAATTATGATAATGTTATGATAATGGTTACCTCCAAAATTCACATATTTTTCGATTTCTTCCCGAAATTGTACCCCTTTTTATAAAGAAAATAATAGGTAATGTGAGTCAATTTGTAGTGGACTGATTTATGCAGCACATGTACAATAAACGTAATGATTAATAAGTAATTCATTAAAAAAATATTTTTATACTTTCACGCGTTTTTTAATAAATTTATTGCACGCGGATGCAGGAGTTAATGCCATTAGGCATTTTTCAAAAAAATAACAAAATCGTAATTTTTTATTCAATCTAGGCTGTTACAAGCACTTGTGAAAGTCGAGAGCTACGCCATCGGTTCGTAAATCTACGGCGGGAGACCTTGTACCGAGAAGAACCGGCTAGCAAAAAAAAAAAAAAACAGTTCATTCTCTAACAGACCAATCAGAGAACCAAAGAAAAGGGCGTAGGTAATAAAACAAGCACAGGATTTCCATATACCAGAGGTCGTTTGCACAAATTTACGCACAATTTTTCATACACATATTTATCTATTGCAATTTCTTTAAAACTCAATCATAACTCAAAACCTGCCTATCCCTATTTGGAAATATGAAAATAGGGTATGTAGGTCAGTTTCACGTCATATATTTTTAAAGTTTTAAATAAATTCCAATAGGTGTAGGCTAGGCGACTGTGATTCAAGAGGATGGGTGATTAAAATGAAAACATCTGATTTTCGTAAAACAAATATTCCGCAGATAGTGTAAATGCGTTCGCGTCGCAAGTATGGTATTGCGCTCGTTGCTCACTCTTTCGCTGCGAAACTGAGACTGATTAACAAGAAGACCAGTCGCCCGGCAAGATGTGCGTGAGCGCCCTCTTATAGGATTGGAGTATCACGCCAATCCGACCTTGGTTTTGCACCATCAGCGAAAACAAACATTTATTAGAAACAAACGATCACTGTATGTGGCACATACACAATAATAAAATATCTTATTACTAGCTATCATACAACTAAACAAATTTAAAAGGAGCGGGCCGATTGTAATCGTCAACAACAGGTATAAAGCTATTTTGGCTTTCGGTCTCATAATAAGGTTTCTTACATCATAACAACCATTTTTATCTTTAACTAATCGATTACCTAAACAATCGAAATTCAATATCTAATTTAACTTTACCGATAAACGGTGTAACTTTTACTTTACACATTGTCTTTATGTAACTGCCCTTATTATGTAATAAGCTTAAAGCTCGTACTAGAAATAACGCTCATAGGTGAAAGTAACTCACTTCCTACTAAGTTTAGACTATAGATATAATAATATTAGTTTAAATCGTTCCGTCTGGTTGGTTAAGTAACTACCATAAGAAATTGA